TTTCTAAGTGTAGCCCTGGCTGTCCTGGAACTCACTCTGTAGACCAGTCTGGCCTTGAACTCAGAGATCTGCCTGTCTCTGCTTCTCAAGTGCTGGGATTAAAGACTTGTGCCACCACTGCCTGGCTTATTAATGGTGATTCTTATAAATACAAAAGAAAAAAGTAAAAGTTACATATTTTTTTAATTTGCAAAGCTATTAACTTTCTTTCCCTTTATTCTAAAGCTATCTCAAAATATCTGTGTATGAGGGCAGCTTCCACCAATTCTAGCCCTGGCTTAGAAACCAGATCTTCTGTTTCTAGCTTCAGTTCATGCACAAATAGACACACTGGGAACAACAGCCTATGGGTTTCCCAGAAGCTTGTCACAAAGGATTGAAAAGGTGGTTTTTCAATTCTCCGTCTTCTATTGCCAGCTGGACTCGTGCCAAGTGCTAGAAACACAAGCCCTACCCCAGGAAATAACCTGTGTCATGCTGTATGTTTTCTGTTGTCCTACTCTACTCAAATTAGTCAAAGGCAGATCCTTCCTTGAGCTCAACATTGTGGAGCCACGCTTTGGCATTTGAAGAGCCTGTTACCATGTGTGATCAGGTTGACTGAGGTCAAAGAGGCTGCAAGGCTGAGTTCCCAGTTGGTAGAGATCTAAATTCTTGGGGAATGCTTGTCTTTTCTCTAAGGGTGAGGGTAAATTCTCTTGTTTAAAAGTTTCCTCTTCCTTTCTTAGATGACTTACATTTGTAAAAAACATGTTCTTAGCAGAGGGCTACAGGGCTGGAGAATCTGTCAGATGAGAGATCCGAGGAGAAAGGAAGAGGGTCTTGGAAAAAAACTCAAAGCAGGAGAAACTTGCAGGAAGAACATACTAAAAGAGAATTAGGCTAGCAGCTAGAAAAATGACAAAGATTCAGTGAATCAAAAGGTCGCAAGTTTTTCTTCATTTTTCAATAGCTTTAGGGAAAAATACCCTTTAGTGGAGCCATTTGGATATCAGAATTTGGGTTAGAAATTTCTTCTTGTTAATTAGAAAAAGGGCAAAATATCCAGTACTAGAAATTATCATGCCTCTTTATTCCAAATTATCTCCAAGATGAACAATGTCAGTTACAGCGGGCACTGAACAGAGCGGCCACTAGAATTCCAAATTATCTTGGGTAAACTTGTATGATTTTGTAATATGCATATAGGAACTCAAATCAGATGAAGATATCTCACAAGGAGGCATTGATAAAGTCTAAGGCAGCCTTTGAGAACTTGCAAAGATCTGATACAAGTTTCAATTGTAAAGCTACCACTGGCCAAGCCCTCCAAGCAGAATTCAGCCTTTGCTGACAACAGAACATATAAATAATTGGCCTTTAGTCAATGAAAATTTTGGAAGTCTATCAGAGAGAAAAAGAAAAAAATAGAACATATAATATTTCTAGATGGTCAGTGAGGCACAATCTTTCTGTTGGGAGATATTGGTCTGACAAGGTCTTAAACATTTTAGGTTACCAGGGCCTAGACTGAAAGTGTTGACTGTTGTTCACAACATTAATTCATGTCCAGCCTAACCAGGTATGCCTCTCCTATGGCCCACAGGCTACATGCATCCCAGGGCAGTGATGATGTCTTTGTAGATGACAATGTCATGGTGCAGTGTCAAAAGGTTGGCCACCCCAAACCAAAGAGTTTTGCCAACTCCAGCTGGAAACTTCTAGAAACCAGGTCAAGAAACAAACGTTGTGCCCCTGTCCATGGGTCCTCGGTATGGGATTCCCCCCAAGGATTTCTGTGGCATGCATCCTGGGTGTGGTTTTACTCGCTTTCATCCAGAAACCTAGAAGATTCTATAAACTTAATACTTCCTACTTTTTTAAGTTCTGAAGAGAAGTGTAATATGTATTCCAGTAGGATTAAATAGTGAGTTTCACCTCCTGCCTCCAGGAGATGCTACACAGCTTGTAGAAACCTTGCCTATACATTTGTGAATATATCCAAACATGAATTCATACTGTCAATTAACAATTACCTGGCTTGCTAGTGTGTGCAGACAATTGGCTCCGCTGTGGGGCACATGGAAATAACACTGATGGTTTAAGCTTATAAAAACAAAACAAAACAAACAAAAAACGTTTACCACAGCTATCAAGTTTAAAAACAAAGAGCTACCTGCAAAGCTATCATTCTGACTATAAATCAGTTGTATTGGTTAAAAGTTAACATTTTTATTGTCTCGCATGACTGGTATTTAGCATGCTTTACCAAGCTCATTCATAGGGGCTTCATGATTACCTTACATTCATCATTGGAGGTAAAAGACCCACGTCTAATCTTTAAACGGCCTTCACTGTTTTATTAGGGGGACTCTTTTAAAAGGCATGCCAAGAAAAACAGGGTGTTTGTTGGTGTCGGTTAACCCTTTTGGCTCAGTTGCCTCTTATTCTTAAAAAAAAATGGGGTGTATTTTGAGAAACAGATGACATCTCTGTATAATGTAAATGTATAACCCAATAGCTAATTCCCAAGTTGTTCTCTCCCTAGATAATGTCAATGATGTCAGAGCAAAAGGCAACATTAAAAGGTCTTTATTTTGTGACTCCAGAATGGAAACCACTTCAGCCCATAAAATGTAGTTTTTTTGCAGGCTGAGCAAGAGAGATGGTTTCATAAAGAAACAGAGAAACAAAAGCAGACTGGCCTTGAGACGCTGCTTTCTTCATACAGTGGGTAAGCGATGCCTAGTCATGGAAAACTGGCTGAGCTTGGAGTATCCAGGAGGAGCAGCATCCTCAGGACAGCTGAAATGGCCCTATTTGGGAAGGTTAGTTATTTCTCTTAACCGTTTTTTTCATGAAAGATTGTGTGACAGCTCAGGGTTTCTGGTGACTGGAACTTTGCCACCAGTGACTCTAGTTTGACTTTTGTCTAGTCATTAGGTCACTGGGAGTGTGTCTTAAGAGAGCACCGTGGAACCCTGAGTCTGCTTCTCAGAACAAAGCGAGGGGGTTTGCTATACCATGAGCTCCTGCCATGATGGACCTCCACCGTCTCAAAGCAGCATGGTCCAGAAACATCCGACTCAGTTCTCTAAAACGGAGAGCCAAGATGAACCTCTGATTCATAAGCGATCATTACAGACAGTTTTATTTATTTATTTATTTATTTATTTGCTTATTTATTTATTTATTTTACCGTAATGCAAAGATGGTTTAAGCTCACCACAATGCACAAGGTAAATTGCAGGCCAGTGGCTTCCCCTTGAGGAATGTCCTGGACTGGCCATGCTTGGCTCAGTCTCTCATCCATTCCAATACAAAAGAGACCACAAACATGGGACCTGCCTGTGCCACCCTCTCAGGTCCTAGCATTTACCTATCATGAATCTAAAGTTACAAGGTAAGTGTCCTTGTCATTGTTCAGTCTGGTTTTCTACTATTTTCATAGGAAGGGTTGGTCTGGTTTATCTAAACCTGTTTGTGAGAGAAAGCCTCTCTTGATTTTGGTTTCTCCCAGGGCATTTTCGTTTTTCTTCAAGGATCGGTACAAAGAGCCTTAGTCTGCTGTTTCTCCCAACCGTTGAGCTAATACAGATGTGGCAAAGGAAAGTCAGCTGTGAATTTGAAGTTGCAAAGGGAAATAAATAAACAGGAAACTCCAGACTAGAGAGATGGCTCAGTGGGTAAGAGTAGTTGCCATTCTTACAGAGGACCTGGGTTCAGCTTCCAGCACCTACAAGAGGGCTCACAAGCAGCCTTAACTCCAGTTCCCAGGATTCAATGCCCCCTTCTGGCCACTATGGCTATTGCATATATAAGGTATGTAAACATACATTCAAGTAAACACATATAAAACAAATTTTAAGTTTTTTTAAGCTCCATTTTTTTTAATCCCCAGGTAAATGCTGACAGTGGGTAATGGTTTCTCCCTATTTTATGCTAGCTTATTTTTAGCATACACTCAACTTTAGTCAGATTTTTAAAAAATTAAGCAGAAAAAATGGAGTGAATGTTAGCAATAAAACAGCCAAGGGTGTTGCCAGCATGATATAAAATATGCTGCTTTTATAGGGAAAACATACCTCTGAAGTGATCATTTGAAATTTAAGCCATGAAGGTAAAGGTTAATATATTGGAAAGGAAAAAAAAGGGGGGGGGAGATAATGCATCGATTCTGGCTTCAAAATGGAAAAAAAAAAGAAGAAGAAAAAGCAGGGAAGCCTAGTGATTCATGGATGAAGGACACACTCCCTGGCCCTGAGAGCAGAGGTAGGTGGGCAGCCATGTGGTCATTCAAAAATAACTAAATGCAGCCAGGCGTTGGTGGCACATGCCTTTAATTCCAGCACTGGGGGAGGGAGGGGCAGAGCAGGTGGATCGATGTGAGGCTGTGAGTTCGAGACTAGCCTGGTCTACAGAGCAAGTTCCAGGGCAGGCTCCAAAGCTACACAGAGAAACTCTGTCTCAAAAAAAATAAATAATAAATAATAAAAAATAACTAAATGTTCTGGGATTGGGAAGCAGATAACTCAGGGCTGCTTGGTAATAGGTTCTCCATTTTACAACAATGGGGAGGGAGGGAGGGAAGGAAGGAGGGAGGGGGAGGGCGGAGGGGGGGCAGGAGGGAGGGAGGCAGGGAGGAAAAGAGGTGAACTGCATGGCCAGGATGATAATTTTCCATCAAAGCTTGCTTTTCTGGAAGCTGACTGCCAGGCCTTCCGTCCTCAAAGCTTCTGGCTTTGCTCAATTCTTGTGGTCCCCCCCCCCCACCTTCTAGCGAGCTCCAGCCTCCCTTGAAAATCAGAGTGCTGGACCACAGCCTGCAGAGATCTGGCCAGGAGGCCTTGCTCTCTGTACAGCTTGCCTGGAAAACACTGGAAACAGAAGAGAGCAATTAGCTCCCCGTGCAGGTGTGAGACTTGGAGGACCAAAACTTTACTGTAGTGAGGGAACAGAGACAAAACGGAATCCATATTTATCCTCTAAGAACAATTTCTTTTAAATTGTGGGGAAGGCAAAAGGAGTCAGCCGTGAGGAGCATTTATCTGTGCAGCAACGTCTTTAGAAATAGTTCTTATCGGCATTTTTATGGAGTTTTCTCACTTTCTAAGTATACTGTTCACAGAAATATCCTAATGTGGCAACTTAATTGCAGAAAACTTATTACGGAAATTGCCTTTAAAAATACCGAATTAAAATCTGCCTTCTTGCTCCTGTTTGAAATTTTATTAGAAATACTTTTATTCCAATGACACCGGTAACATCTAAAGCTTGGCATGAAGTAGAGACAGACGCAGACAGTACATAGACAGGAGAGCTCCCCGCTCAGGTGCTACCTTTGGTTTGTATTTGTAGAGGGTGTGTGGATCGAGCTGGGACGATGCCTCTGGAACTAGCTAGGTGTTTTTTGGGCATAGGGAACAGGGCGTTTCTGGCATGGGTTTACATCACCATGGATGCAGCCGTTCTGTAAGCTGTCATCTGAACCTTGGGCGGAATGCAAGCAGGAGAAACTTGCTTCCTTATGTACAGTGCGTCAGCAGCGGAGCAGAACTATTTGCGGTTTCTTGGAGGCAGGTGTGCAGTGCTCATTCTTTGAAACAAGTTTTTTTTTTCAGTTGGCTAAATCCCTCCATGATTCCCTCAGACAACCAACCAGGAAATAAAATCCTAGGGAAAAACAGAAAAGGAAAGAATAGAATCTGTGAGACCAACCACAAGGCAGGACTCAGGAAAGATACAATATTCTGCTCTCGTCTGAGATGGGTCAAGATGAAAGTCATTTAAAGCCACCATAAAAAGAAGTAAAGGATGAAAAGTATAAAAACGTTCACAGATGAATCCAAAAGACATTTTTTTTTATTTCTTGTAAGCGATGGTGGATCTGAAAGGTCACTTCTATCTCTCTTAATTCATTCACATGTGGAAAAATAGTCCAAGAAATAAGACGAGCAGCACGATGAGGAAAGATGGCCGACAGTTATTTCCCAAGGGGAGAGGCTTATCTCCAGATATAACCTTCATTTCTCAGCAGTGATAAACTCCTGTGATGGGCTCTCCATCTCCTTTAATAACAGTGTGCAAAGCCGGACACTGAGTTATGGTGGGAAATGTACTGGGCCCTTTGTTCCCCAAGCCCATTAATTCTGACTGCCCCAAGATTGAGTTGGAAAATTCTGTGCAGAGGGCTCCCTCTGAAGCAGGCCTGGCCTTGTAGCTGTACAGTCTGGAATCGTAATGCTTCCTGGACTCGGTGCAGCCTCTTCTACTATTGGTTGAGCGCTGGCCATTGAAACTAGCTAAGACTTGGGCATACCTGGATGCAATTCCTTGGGTTGCCTCCAGGGGGCGCCTCCAGGCCCATCACAGACAACTCACAGAGGCCAGGTTGTCTGGTTAATGACCCCACATGCTAAAATTCTCCTCCTCATTCACCCGGTAAGCAGCATCTCTCCTGCACTTCCTACAAACTCCTGTCAACAAACTGGGAAGGGAGATTTGAACCCACAGCTCAGTCCAATCTGACAGGTGAGCTGTGATGTTAAGCTACAAGACCCAGGGATGGCTTAGTGTGGAGAGCACTTGCCTAGCAAGCCCAAGGTCCCAGGTTCAATCAGGCATGGTGGCACACACATGAGGATCAAGCCACTCAAGGTCATCCTAGCTACATATTAGCACTGAAGCCAGCCTTACTCATTGCCGTAGAAATACTGCTTTCTTTGCGTGTTTGACAGGGGCCTCTTGCTCAGTTATATGGTCGCAGAAGCAAACTCAGTAACTTTGAAACAAGGGATCCCTCATTTTAATCTAACACAGGACCCACAAATGATGTCTCTGAAACTGCTGAAGGGTGATGTTGGAGCTGAGTGGGCCCTGGGACCCTCTGTGTGTGTGTGGGGGGGAGGTAATTCCTTAATTAGATTATTTTTGTAATTTAATAAAATGTAAAGCGGTGGCATTAAATTAATACACTAAAACAAAGCCTGACTGTACAGAGTGGGATACAACGCACTTAATATTGATGAGTACGATAAATATTTTATGGAGACAGGCCAGACTCATCTCTCACTGTCTATCCTATCTTTTTGTAACAGCCTTTGGAACTGAGCTGCTTGCTCTACAAACTCAGTCATGCTTGGCTTCTCGATGCTCACCCCACCTAGCCACTTCAGATGAGAAGGAGATATTTATTTACCGTTTAACCTCCGTCTATTTTTGAAAATCTTCCTAGAGACTCTCAGTGGTGAAAAAGAAGAGGTTTGTATACTGCAGGTTTGGGGGTATCTGTTGCTGGCTTTGTTGTGGACTGGGTCGGTACCCACTAAAGACCCTTTGTTTTGGGATCAGAAGATGACTCAGTTAGTAGAGATTGCCTCGTGAGCACGAGCACCTGAATTTGGTCCCTTGGAGCCTGCATAAAACAAGCCAGATTGGTGACACACATCTGTAATCTAAGGATGGGAGAGGCAGACAGGTACCTGGGGCGCAGTGTCCAGTCAGAGTAGCCTATTGGTGACTCCTAGGTCATCGACAACAGTCTCAAATAATAAATTGTACGATGCCTGAGGAATGACTGCTAAAGTCCTCCTGTGACCATTACACGCATATGCACATATGCCACCCCCCACATGCACACATGCAAATACACACACACAATAATATTTGTACACTGTGAAAATATATTGCTGTAATTTGGTTTAATAAAGAACTGGACTGTACCGTGTAGTCTTTCTGATAGCCGCCTGTCTCAGCCCCCAAATAATACACAAAACGCTATATTAATCATGGAGCTGTGGGCCGTTTGCTTGGTTTCTTATTGGCTAGCTCTGACTTAATTATTAATCCTTAACTGCTAGTCTGAGTATTTCCAGGTAGTCTTCTCTTACCGGAGAAAGGGTCCGGACTTCTTATTCCTCTGGCGTCCTACATCGTGACTGACTGTGCCTCTGTTTCCCAGAATCCTCCTCGACTCCTAGTCCCACCTATCTTGCTTCCCTATTGGCCAACAGTGCTTTATTCATCAACCAATAAGACAACAAATACATAGAAGGACTTCCCCCATCACTGGACGACCAATAGCTAGGCAGGAGGTATAGGAAGGACTTCCTGGCAGAGACAGAATTGAGAGGAAGAAGATTCTAGGCATGCAGAAGACTGCCAGGGAGACCCTGAAGAGGTCGGGCATATGATACAGAGTGGAGGTAACGAGTCACGTGGTAGAGCATAGATTAATAAAAGCAGGTTAGTTTAAGTTATAAGAGCTAGTGGGACATGCCTAAGCTAATGGCCAAGCTTTCACAATAAGTCTCGCAGGGCGGTGGTGGCACACGCCTTTAATCCCAGCACTCGGGAGGCAGAGGCAGGCGGATCTCTGTGAGTTCGAGGCCGGGCTGGACCGACAGCCTCCAAAACAATACAGAGAAACCCTGTCTCATAAAACCAAAAAAAAAAAGTCTCTATGTCTTTATTTGTGGGCTGGTGGTTCAGAGGAAAAATGTACTATTACACACACACACACACACACACACACACACACATCATTTTTTTTTTAAAATCATGCTCCAGTTGTTGTTTTCTAGAAGTGCCCACAGAATTCCCAGCCATGGATTTATTACGGAAAAAGACACAGATGAAGGTCGGCCAATAGAAGAAGCGCACTTGGTGGTGTCCTGAAGAGATGGACATAGGCTCCCCGTGCTCCCCCACAGAGCCTGGACTTGTGGCTCTTTGTGTACCTGCCACTTTCCTATGTGACAATGTGCAGGGATCATTCCCAGCCAGGAGGCTTTGTGTCACGTGCTCTGCGTGTGGCTGACCTTCAGTCTCTGGCATTCATTCTAGACTGGAGCTCACACCTGCAGGGAAGAAAGAGTTTCTTCCTCTGCCCTCCTGCGTTCACTGCCTGAGCATTCTGCAAATTAAATGACAGGAAAACTAATTAATAGGAGAAATAGCAGGTTTAATTTACACGTATTGGCATGGGAGTTTCCAAAGAATCGTGACACAAAAAGGCAGTCAAGCTTAGTCCCTATATGCAATCTTACTTTTAAAGTTACTTATTTTGTTTCACAGGCATGGGCGTTTGGCCCATGTCTGTGTACTGTGTGTGTGCCTGGTGACCATGGAGGCTGGAAGAGGGTGTCTGATCGCCTGGAATGGAGTTACAGTTGGTTGTGAGCCACCATGTGGGTGCTAGAACTGAAGCCCAGGCTCTTAACTGCTGAGCAGCCTCTCCTCTCCCTGCTAATAGACTACTTTAAAGCAGAGAAAAGGAAGAGGCTCTTTGCTTCTGGAGAAGAAGGGGTGAGTTTCTGGAAGAAGGGGAGAAAACATGTGGCAGGCAGGGATTGTTTAACAAGGCCTGTTGTGACTATAACAGTCCTTAGTCTTTGGGGGTAGCTCCTTCTTGGTCTGTTAGAGGTAGCTCTCTTTAGAAATGGACATAGATGTCGTGGTTTTGGACAGAAAGGAGGCCAGTGAGCTCATTGCCTTGAACCTCAAACAATCCTGATGATAGAGAGGCATATTTTGAGCTTCTATCTATGGGTCTCTAGCAAGTTTGTTGTCTCTAGCATCCCCAGAGGTCAGAACTGCATCACTTTAATCCATGCTAGACGGTGGCCCAGCATGGAACCACCAGCAAAGAGACTCCTGTGAGCCAGAACATTCTAGATCCTCTCCAGGGGGTAAGGTCAAAGGCCAGTCTTGTCTATGGAGAACTTCATTCTCAAAAAAAATATGATAACCTTCCAATATTTACCATTCAATTCAAGATTACAAAACTATTAACACCAATCACAGCCAATACCATTGTCTCTGACAGGGGAATAAAGAGTCTGCTGAGGAATGTCATGAGCCACTTACCAAACATGGGCATTATCAGAAGTTAAGTTTTGAAGATGAAGATAATAAATGAGGATAGAAAGACAGGAAATTGAGGAGACCTGGGGTGAGTTAGGTTGCAGTAGCTCACCCACTGAGAGTCAATAATTCAGTACAGTTAGCAACATTTGCTTTGGAGGTGGCTGACAAAGACACAACCTTCCTTTTACGTAGAGATTATTTTCAAGCAAGAATGTTAAAATAGCAAGGAACCATGCTCAAGGCTTGCATGCACATGACCTTGAAGCATGCTCTCAACTCCCTTCAAAGTCACAAATATGCAGTTTTCTGGGAATTTCACGAACAAAGCTATTAACTTTATTTGTAGTTTTTTTTTTTTTAATGGGGTCTAACTGTCCTGTGCACCCTCTGTGAGCTGTGTCTTTACCTTGACAGCTGCGACGCTATCTGGAGAACCACCCTACCTCTCATTTACACAAAGGAAGGGAAGGAGAGAGAGACTGAGTGGGAGGGAAGACGGGGTGGGGGGTTGGGGGGGTATGCAAAAATCCTGCAAACAATGTCACTCCAGATGTCACATACGTGGCCTCTCCCTTATGTGTGTGCATATTACTCTTTCCTGAGTACCTCTTATTTTGTCTATGCTAAAAATCTCTTAACAAACTCAAGGTCTGCTTCATACTGAGATTCTTTTCCACGTTGGAGAATCCCACTTTGCCTCTGAAAAGATCTCTTCAAGCTACCGCTGTGCCTGGGTTTCCCTCTTACCCTACTGCTAATAACAAATGCTCAAAGTTTATAATTTTTAAAGTCTCCTTATTATATTTTTAAGCTCTTGTTCTTATTTACAGACGGTTTCCACATCCTGTAGAGTACCACCATGAGGCGCTCTCCTTGTCTCTGTGTAGGGCTGCCTCCTTTGTAGCACAAGGTGGACGTGAGTGAGCATAATAGTACTATGACCAGGAATTTTTTCATCTTTGACTTTGAGATACTTCTTTCTGATGGTCAAGTGGTTACAAGAGCCATTGAGAATGTGTTACAGGCCATGACAACACTGGGCCAAATGTCTGATAAATTACCCCAAAATGCAAACAAAGTTTGTACAGAGCTCATGAACCCGACCCAAGAGTTTTACCTAAGGATCTCACTCTTCATGCAACCTGGTTCTGTGTGACTCTGGATTTAATTTTAAGTGTAAATTTATACAATGGCATTTCAGTGCTTCTGACATTTTGTGTAAATTGTGGAGGGTGTATGAGAAACTAAAAGTAGCATTTTGATTTATAAGTGTAAGATAAAAAAATGTATGCATGTAACACTTGCCTCGTGTGAAAACAGTGTTCTTTTCTGTTGTGCATAATGATCTCAGTGTATGTTCTGAGACAGGGAATGTTTACTTGTAATGTGGCAGCAGTTTCAAAGGCAGAGACTCCAGTCAGTCTTTTCGCTGATGGGGTTCCCAGGTATGACTCCTCAGTACACTGGGCCTCACCTGCTGAAGGTACAGAAGGGTCTCTCCACTTTGCCTGAAGCTGGTCACAAGACTGTTCTCGTCAGAGACAATCAGGTTTAAAGAGGAAGGTTTATTTTTGTCTCACATTTTCCCAGGTTGCAGCTCCCAGTCAGTGGACACCACTGCTTTGGACCAGTCGTGGTGAGGAGTGTGTGGAGGGACAAAAACCCTCACCTTATAGAAGAAACAAAAGAGAAGAGAGACTAGGGGCCACTCCTCCTTAAGGGAATGCCCCCCCATTGACTTCACACCTCCTCTCTAGACCTAGCCTCCTAAAGGTTCCTTCCCCTTCAGATACAACCACCACACACTGGGGGAACAAATCTCACAGCACAGAACCGTGCTGAGCTGTCACTGAACATGCCACAGAAGCAATGAGGCCAGCATTTAAGAGGTGGCAGGGGTGTCTGTCTCCAAACATGGAGACTCTAGAATGAACCTGACTGGATTAGTGTGGGGAGCAGAGGAGGCCCTGCATATGTGAGTGAGTGTGCATGGTTTGACATGGGCACCGCCTGTTGAGGGTCCCAAAGCCTCAGACCCAAGGGAAATGGCAAAGCCTTCCCTCCCTATCCGAATGTGAATGTTGACCATGTGTGCAGAAAATGACCCGCATAGCTTTCTCCCCCCAGATATTTATGGGCTGCTGGCTGCTCCCCTCCAGAGTCTGTTCTAATGAGATTAGCTAAACCTGTCTCCTTGTTCAGCTGTATATAATAATCCCAACTCTTGTTAGGTTGTGTGCAATAACCCTGCCTTCTTGTTCAACTCTGTCTATCTGTCTATCTACCATCTATATCTATCTATCATCTCTATATCTATCTGTCTATCTATCTGGGGAATGGTCCTCTGTATATATTTATCTTATTGGTTGATGAATTAAACACTGTTGGCCAATAGGGAAGCAAGATAGGTGAGACTAGGAGATGAGGAGGATTCTGGGAAACAAAGGCAGATCAATCACCATGTAGGATATAAGAGGAGTAACAGGTCCACATTCTTTTTCTGGTAAGATAAGACCACGTGGGAATACTTAGATTAATAGAAGTGGGTTAATAATTAAGACAGAGCTAGCCAATAAAAAGCCCAAGCCAATAGCCAACAGTATTATAATTAATATAAGTCTTGTATGTTTATTTGGGGGCTCCAGGGCGGCTGCGGAACCAGGTGGGAACTCCGTGACATACATACATCTGTCTGTCTGTCTGTCTGTCTGTCTATCTATCTATCTATCTATCTATCTATCTATCATCACTGAGCTTCCAGGGGGCAGAGGCTTCTCTATCTGATTCCAACTTTTCTGTGTGTCCCTGTGTCTGTCTTTTCTTCATTCCCTCACTGCTCCAATCAGATCAAGTTCTTGGAGCTGTGCCAGGATGCGGCAGATCAGCCTTGCCAAGTTTCCCTGGTTACTACTGTCATCTCACACCATCCATCCTATCATGATCCTAGCCCGTGATCTTCCATTCCCCAGCAAACTGAATAAAACAAACAAATGAACACAAACGAAAAACCACCAGGGTGGGGACATTTAAGAGGGGTTCAGAGGTTAAGAGCACTCACTGGCTGCTCTTCCAAGGACCAGAGTTTGATTTCCAGCAACACATAGCAGCTCGCAACTACCTGTAACTCAAGTTCCAGGGGATCTGACGCCCTCTTCTGGCATTTGTTGGCACTACATGCATGTGGTGCACTGACATTCTTCAGGCAAAACTCATCTATTCACATAAAATACAATGAAAAAAAAATACCAGGTTCAACTGTCTTTGGGTCTTCATTTCTGATAATCTCCTGGGTCTTTCAAGTCATATATTACATCAGTTTATGGCCTTTTCTTGTTAATCTGCCAATCTTCTATGTGGACCCAGATAAGAGCCAAAAAGGACAGGAGGAGAAAGGTATTTTCCTTTCTTCTAACATGCCATAAATGCAGTGTCCACACACTTGCTTTTGTCTCGTAGGTGCAGGGTGACGACGTTTGCTGTCTAAGGGATGAAATACTGAGATGGCAGATGTTTTTGACACGTGCTCCTGTTTGCTTTGTGAAGCTGTCATAGCACAGCCGCAAGGATGGAAAGGGAAGCCAGTTCACCTCCACGTAAAGCCCGTTTAATCTCCTGGGGATGCAGCCTCTGCGGCCACCAGTCCGAGACCCAGGAAGACCACAGTTAACCACCGCAGACATGTGACATCCCAGACTGTTTTCACTTGCCTGGCTAGGTACTGGGCAAGTTGGGGAGCACAGGCTGCCTGTTGCTTATAGGATTGTCTTGAAGAAGAGATAATATTCAAATTACTCGACATTAAAAATTATTATTTGAAAGTATAGTTGTCAGCCATTTTGCTAAATTTCTGCCTTTGTAACATGGTACTTGATCCCCTGTATATGACCTGTCTGATCAGGGAGAATTGTTAGGATGGAAAGTCAGAGTGGAGGACTGTATTCGAGGAAAAACAAATTATCGAATGGTACTTGTTAAAACACAGTCAGGCTGACTTTACTCAGGATAATGGTGACAGGCATAGAACCATGGCAACAAGATCTTACTGTGGGAAGAGGGATCGGGCTCAACCCTGAAGACAACTGGGAGGCAAGTGGGAATCGATATTCAGGAGCTGTGTGTGTGTCCGCGTGCGTGTACACGCTCGTGCGCTCGGTGTCAGAGGATGGGGTATTGCTAAAATACCATATCAGAGTTAAGAAGGCGTTGGTTCTCTGAATGCAAAATGTAATGTACCCCCATTGTTTGAATGCTTGGTGCTGTTCCTACAGATTGTGACACCTCTAAGAGGTGGAGCCATGCTGGAGGAAGTGGGCCAGTGGGGGCGGGCCTTCCTGTTTGCTATCCCACTTGTGCTCCCTGCTCTCCTTGGATGCAGGCAGGATCTTGCCGCCTTCCTTTTCACCTCACTGACTTTTCAGCCATGATGGGCTGCCTCTCCCCCAATTGTGAGCCCATTTTAAATCTTTCCTCCCTCATGTTGCATCTCCCAGGCATTTTTTTGTTGTTGTTACAGCACCAAGAAAAGTAACAGTTATAAAAAAGTTTCTGGCTGAACTGATCCACCAGGATAGTTCTGTAGTCGGGTGGTTAGGCATTTCTGAACGAACTTAGAGCTTCATTTAAAACTGGGTTTTTTAGGGCAGTGCATGTCATCTAGGGTTCTAGGATAAGCTTATGAGGCCTCAATGAGGTTTGGTAAAGCCAACGTAGATAATTTGAAATCGGTTTTATTAAAATATTGACTTACCTTTTGATTTGTCTCTGGCATTCAGGAATCCTGTTTCCAAGAGGTGTATGAAATGACTCTGCCTGAGCCTCAGGGGCACTTCTGGGATTGTTTGTTTTAGATCGCTCGGGGAGGACACAGATCTCCGGGAAGGTAGTATTCCTGCAATTGCCAAGATCTTAACAATAGTTGGAGACTAAGTAGCAAGATATTGAATCTAATTTCCTCTTGGGCCCCTTTGTTAGCTGAGTGTTTTGTGCCCCGAGAGAGGAGCAGCCGTCTTGATGGCAGCTGCTCTCTGACACCAACACTGTATGGCAAGGAGCAGGATTGGGTCAGGAAATGATGAGGCTCCAGGAGAATCTTCCTACAGGTGTTCCTGGGCTCACAATATGTATTGTGAACAATGTGTTGGGCATTGGAGATGTCATACATCGAAACACATTTTAATACTTCCAACCTGTGAAGCTTAACCCGAACACCACAGTGTCAGTGGCCCTTCCGGGAGCTTCAGGAATACCAAACCCAACCCTCGAAGTGTGTTTTCTGTGCAACGGATGGCTTTCACACCACTGCCAAACTGGAAGGCTCTAGGCTGAACCTTGTAGGTTAGGGACCATCTTGATCCTGAATGAACTCCAAACCCATCCTTTTGAAGCAAAGATAGTGAAAATGTCACTGAACCCAGCGGGTAGTCTGAGCTTCCCGAATGATTCTCCCCTCTCCCTGGAGTCTCAACTCAGGTCACCCTCCAGCAGGATCATCATCACTGACAGCTGATTTTGCTTCACCCGAAAACCCAGACTGCCAAGAGAGGGCAAATGTACCTCTTCTGGGGGTGGCAGGAATGCAGTGAGGAAGTGAATTGTCATAGAATCCATTCTCGGAGTCACTCTCCTGGGTTGAGGGTATTGTGCTCCTGTTTATCACACACTGACCTATCACCAGTGACCATTTCCACAGGGCACTGTTAACTGTTCTGCTGTTCTAGAGAGCCAGTTATGGTCAGGAAATGTCCCTCTTGTATTGTTTACCGCTCCCAACACACAGTCAACCTCTCTCTGACACACAGAGCCTACCACACACACCAGCCAGTTTCACTCACAGGCAAAAAGCCCCTCACATAATACACATACTGTCTCTCACCCACAGATACAAGTCAGTCTCTCTCACACATGCTCTGTCTCTTTCTGTCTCTGTCTCTGTCTCTTTCTCTCTCTCTCTCTCTGTCTCTCAGAACCGCACTCGAACACACATATGCGGGTGTGTGGGGGGGAGGGTTGAGTAGTTTTATGCCTCTTCCCTGCCTTTGCACAGTGTGTACCAGGTAAATCCATTTTTTTAAATTACTATGGAGGAAGTGAAAAAGACACAGGTGTGTGGGGTTTGGCTAGGGCACCCACTGAGAGTCAGATGTTCTGGGAAAGCTGTCACTACGACTCAGGATTTCAACTTTGCTTCTCTCTCACCAATTTTAATTCATCAAGGAAAACCAACAATAAATAAAATAGAGGCGAAATGGGTCGGGTCTTGGACTGTGTCCCTGTTAGTCTGGGAACTGCCGAATTAAGTGCTCGGGTGTTAAAAATTAAGGAGGCATAGGAAAGCACAAAGAGCAAATTCTCCTTTACGTTTCAAATTTCTTTTAAGTTTCTTACTGGTTGTTGTTTGCTTCAATGGTGACTTTATTTTGGTCTGGATGTACAAGATCTCAGTTAACTTCAGAAATAAAGCCACGTCAATCCACAAGTGTCCTGAAAGAATTAACGGGCTTTTCAATACGAGAGAATCCAGCGTTACTCCGGAATAACTCATTTATTTACATATTGTGATTGGCATTCAAAAGTAGAACAGTTTCGCGAAAGACAGGAAGTGTCTGAGTCAGAGGCAATACCAGGGCGGTCCGTGGTTATCATTTATGTTGACAGAGCCAGGGCAGCCTTGCATGCACTACCCAGGAGACAACAGTCACACTCAGGAGATCCAGTAAGGCACAGGTAAAGTAGCTAGCTGGGCCAGGGAGGCTGAGGCAGGAGGATTTCCATGAGGACAGCCTGGCTTCTATAGCCAATGCCAGACCTGCCTGGGCGACAGAGTAAGGCAGTGTCTCAAAACCAAAACCAAAAGAAAGCCAGAAGTGATTGATGTGTTCGGCGCCTCTCTCTGTGCTTAAGAGTTTAAAGGAAAAGCAAAAGAAAGAGTCAGCCGGACGGAAATAAAAATCAAACCCGGGGTTTATTATAAGCCGTAGCATCAGCAGCAGAGAAACCCGACAAGGAGGTAGTCCACAGCCCCGGATGCACCCCTCGACTTTGGGGAAGGGACTGCTGCGCGCGTTCCCAGGGCTGGGGCACAGCGCGGTGGAAGGTTTCAAGCCCCGCGGGCGCTGGAGCATATCCTCTCGCTGTCCTGCGGGTGCCTGATCGCTTGCTCCTCTGGGGAGAGACGGTGTTAGGGTGCAGACAGTGCACCTGCTAAGCACCCCAGCTCGCGGCCAGGAGGCGGCGGAGACCTGCCCATCCGCAGCCGAGATGGGCTGGGGGACCGGTCTGGGAGAGGAGCTGGGCGTACCCACAGGGACCCCGAGTGGCTTTCACGCGTGCCCCTCAACCTCCCAAGCCGTGCAGCGCCCCCGTTCCACCTGTGCGTGCTCTGGCCGCCTGGAACGCGGCACCCGCGGGCGGAGGCCAGGTGTTAGGGACCTTGGGTCCCGGGATCCAGGAGGCGGAGGCGCGCGAGCGGGCATGCGCAGTGGGCGGAGGCGGCGGCGATGGCCCGGGGAGGCGGGGGGACCGCTGTTTATTTGCAGCTGGGCCACCGCGGCGGCGGAGCACGGGGCGCCCGGGCGGGGACAGTGGGCGCGCGATGCCCGAGCCACGCAGGCCACCGCGCGCCCCGGCCCCGGCCGGGGAGGATGCGCGCCGCGCGGGAGCGGCCGTGCGGGCGGCGCGATGCTGGTGACCCGCGGGGACCGCGGCGGCGGGGAGCGCGCGCCCTCCCGGCGCCAGCGCTGCGGGCTGGTTCCGGCCGGGGCCGCGGCGCTGCTAGCCGGGGCCAGCTGCTTGTGCTACGGACGCTCTCTGTGGGGCGAGTTTGTGCACGACGACGTGTGGGCGATCGTGAACAACCCCGACGTGCGGCCCGGGACCCCGCTGCGCTGGGCCGTTTTCGCGAACGACTTCTGGGGCAAGGGCCTTGCGGACAGCACCAGCCACAAGTCCTATCGGCCGCTGTGCGTGCTGTCCTTCAGGTGAGCCCCCGTGTGCCCTGCGGTCTGGACACCTGTCCCCGGAGAAGGGGTGGCACTACGGGGGCACTTCTGACGGATCCATCCGTACCTCCTCTAGGGTGTCCTCCCCCTTTCAGCTCTATCTTCCTGACTGTACCCGAGATCGTTTTGCCACCAGCCCGATCCTCTCCTCTTTATCTCGTGTTCTCCCGGCTCAGTCTGGTCCTCTAGGTTCTATGCTTGCTCCTGCCTGCTCAGCTCCGTTCTCCTGGCCCTGCCCCATGTTCTCTGGGCTCTGTGCTTGGTGTCCCTGCTTCTATCCTCAGTGCCTTCTACTCGGCTCGCTCCGGGTCCTCCCGGCTCTGACTAATGTTCTGTCAGCGAAGCCCCGGCTTCTCTCTGATAGAGGTTCTCTGCACTTCTTCGCTCTGCCTGGATCCTCCCGGTTCTGGCCCTGATCCTGCTGCGCCAAGCCCTGTCCCGAGTCCTCCTGGCTCTGCCTCTGCCTCTGGTGCTTACCAGGCTCTGCTCCAGGTTCTCATGGCTCTGCCCGGGTTCTCAACACTGCACCGTTTTCTTCTGGCTCTGTCTTGGATGCTCTCCGGCGCTACTCAGGGACCTCCCAGCTCTATCTCGGTCCTCCCAGCTAAGCCTAGGTTCTCCTGCGCTTCCTGGCTCCTGGGGCTCGGGCTGCGGAGTTGGGACCGAGTTTCCACAGAGACTGTGCTCTCTCTGCTAGGTTCCTAGGGGCTCAGGGCTGGTGGGTCTGACTTCGCACCGTACCCTTTCCCTATCCTTCCCGGTGTTCTCATGGAGATCGGCGGGTTCCAGAGGGCGGCGAAGCTCCAAGCTATTAGCTTCTCGGGGGGAAGGGGGACAGGGAGGTTGAGATTGGACTGCTGGGCAGATGAGGAGTAGAGGGGACAGGATCTGGTGGCCCAGAATACGCCTGGAGCTGGCCAGGCTGTGAGTGTTTCAGGCAGAAGCTGGGGAGAGGGGTTAGGTACCCTAGTCTGAGCACCAAGCTTTGCGTACTGGGCCGCTGGTAGCCTCCCTAACCCGAACATCTCCAATCCCAGCTTCCACATCCTGAAACTCTGTAACCCCAGCCTCTGAGTCCGCCCTGTGGCGCCCAGTCCCCGGGATTCACACCGTGTACGCGCTAAGTGATGGGGCACCCGCCTGGGGTCACAGAGGGACCTTTGCCTAGCACCGGAATCGTGACTAGGCGTTTCTGGTGTGAAGTAGTGGGTCCGGACGCGTTTGTAGGGTGGGGTGTCCGCTTGACTTTACAATTCTGGGGAAAGGACCGGGTTGGAGCCAGGAGCTGAACTCCATTCAATGTAACTTGACTCCGCCTTTGAGCTGGTGTGAGTAGGACAGAACAGCTCACAGGGTATTAGCCCTGTAATAACCTGCTTTCCAGTTCTTGTCATCGGAGCCTTCGTTCATGGCACTGATCTCTGGGAACAATTGGCAAAGTAACAGCCAGCGTGGGCCTTCAAGCCCAGGGCTTTGGAGAGGCGGCCCCATGGCTTAGAAAAGGAAACCCGGCAGCTGGCTTTTCACGTAGTTTTTCCAAATAAACTAGTGTTTTAAAGAGGGCAAGGAAATAACACATCTGACTCCCAAGGGGGACGTATTATAAACATTTGTCTTTGGAACGTTGTGTTGGTTTTCAACCCAAAGATAGACTTGGCTGCAGTTTTTCAGCCTTTTTAATTTCCCAAGTGTGTGTGTGTGTGTGTGTGTGTGTGTGTGTAATCTTAAAAATAGGAACGCTTCCTTTTACACTTGGTGGGCTTTCATGGAGTGGGTGAGGCTGTTGATTAATTTGAAGGTGTATAAGCTCACAACACTCAAAATGCAGACTTTTTTCAGCATTGGTCCCTGTCCCCGGCAGTTTCCATTTAAAGGTCGGGTGTTGAATGCCTGCTGGAGGATGGGCGTAAGTGTAAGGTGCTGGCTGTCCACGTGTTATTAATAGTTCCTAATAGGAGTTCTGCCGGGCAGAGGAGGAAGGGAGGGAGGGAGGGCCGTATAGCAACCCCTCCTCTGATATCACTAGCTTGACTTCACACACACACACACACACACACACACTAGCCATGGGAGGTGCTAGTGAAACGGGAAATTGGCTGGGTTGATGGGCAGGGGTGACAGAGCAGGAGGAAGGGGGAAAATAGAACGTCTTTGGGGTGTTCATTGTTTATGCAGAGCAGTTTGGTGTCAAAGACATTGCTATTTGCTGTGTGGGTTGCTTAAGGCTTGGTTTTTTGTTTGTTTGTTTGGTTTTTATCAACTTGACCCAAGCTAGAATCATCTAGGAAGAAGGAAACAATTGAAAAAACGATGCTCCCATCAGATTGGTCGGTAGGTAAGCCCGTGTGGATATTTTCCTGATTATGATTGATGTGGGAGGGTCCAGCCCACTGTGGGTAGGGCCACTCCTGGGCAGGTGGTCATAGGTTGTATAAGAAAGCAGGCAGAGCAAGCCAGTAACCAGTGTTCCTCCGTGTCTCTGCATGTTCCTGCCTTGACTTCCCTAAACGATGGAGCTGTGGTTCAGACATGTAAGGCAAACCAACCCCTTTCTCCCTAGGTTGTTCTAGGTTGTGGTGTTTATCGAAAGTAGAAATACAGCAGGTCCTTTTTTCCAATTGAGTTGAGAGTCTAGAGGTGTCCAGTCGTGAGTCTAGAGAGCAACTAGGTGTGACTCTGGTATAAGTTACTGTAGGAGTGAACCACATCCCTGTCAGATAAGTTTAGAATTTAGGTGGAATGGATATGTTTAGTTTAGGATAAGTAGATCATAACTTAATTATCACCCTCTATGTATATATGTTGTATATGTTTGAGTTTGTATCAAATTTAAATCTTCTATTTAGACTAAAAGGGGAATTGTAGGAGTGAACCCCACAAAGCTACCCGCCCAACAGGGCGGGGTCAAGGTAGAGATAAAAGGTAGTGAAAGAAAAAGAGGCCTCTCTCTTTTCTCCTGGAAGCCAGCCAAGCTTCTAACTCCTGGTATGTGCGACTCTCTCTCTCTCCCTGATAAATAAATATATTGTTTTCCCTATATAGCCTCGAGTATCGTTATAAGTTACCTTATCTGTAAGAGAAAGCAGACCAGCCCTGTTTACACGGTCAGTTTCAATCAGAGTAGCCACATCTTCAGTAGTCAATGAGGTGTTCCCCATGTTCTAGCTCAGTCCCATGAACTGAAGGCCCTCGAAGACTTCAGATTTTTTTGGGGGGGTTACAAGACAGGGTTTCTCTGTATTGTTTTGGAGGCTGTCGGTCCAGCCCGGCCTCGAACTCACAGAGATCCACCTGCCTCTGCCTCCCGAGTGCTGGGATTAAAGGCATGCGCCGCCACCACCCGGCATGACTTCAGACTCTTTTAATAGTTTTCATCCCTTTCCTATTCCTGTTTTTTGTTTGTTTGTTTGTTTCTTGAAACAGGCTTTCACTCCACATCCAGGCTGGCTTGGGATTCACTGTGTAGCCCAGGATAGTTCTTTTAACTCATGGTAGTTCTCATGCCTCAGCCTCCTAAGTGTTGAGATTGCAGATTTCAGCGAGCTACCATGTCTGGTTAGATCTATGTAGCGTGAGCCTGCAAAAAGGGATGGAAAACCACTTTGATTATTTGGTATGACTCCTGCATTGGCCTAGTGTCCTGACTATTTTTTTTATGTCAGCTTGGCATGAGCTAGAGTCATCTGTGAGGAGAGAACTTAGATTGAGAAAATGCCTCGGCAAGGCCGTAGGCATGCCTGAAGGGCATTTTCTTAATTAGTGACTGATTGATAACAGCAGCACCCAGCCCACTGTGGGTGTTTCCAACTCTGGGCTAGTGGTCCTGGGTGGTGGGAAATAACACCGATATACTATGTGGGATCTCCCCACCCCCTAGATTTCATCTGCTTTTGCATACCTCTTTTATTTATTTCGGTGTCTATTTAGTTCTCTGCAGTTTTATGCCTAGTGTCAATTTCTGAGATTTCTACGTAGCCACAAAGCCTAGGACATGTTCATCCACGTGGACTCTACACTTGTTCATCATAGCAACCACCCAAGCTCTAAAGTCTAATCCCAGACTCCCACCCTGACCATGGCAACCAGTAATTCTCCATCTCTGTAATTTTATCATTTTGATGTTATGCCCAAGCTCTAAAGTCTAATCCCAGACTCCCACCCTGACCATGGCAACCAGTAATTCTCCATCTCTGTAATTTTATCATTTTGATGTTATGTGAGCAGAATTTCCCAGCGTACACTTTACTGAGAGTGGGTGTAACGTGTACTCTTTCCCGCCAACTGCCTGGGTCCCGTCGTTGTCTCTGCCCCCAAATAACGCACGAGACGCTATGTTAATTATGAGGCTGTTGGCTGTTTGCTATGGTTTCTCTTCAGCTAGCTCTGACTTAATTATTAACCCATAAATGCCAATCTGAGTATTTCTACGTGGTCTTCTCTTACTGAAGAAGGGGTCCAGACCTCTTAGTCCTCTGGCGTCCTACATAGTAACCAACTGTGCCTCCGTTTCCCAGAATCCTCCACCTCTCCCAGTCCCACCTATCTTGCTTCCCTATTGGCCAGCAGTGCTTTCTTTATCAACCAATAGGACAACATGTACACAGAAGGACTTCTCCTATCAAATGGGTTGCTTTTTTAATCTTAGCATTTCTCTGGAGCTTCACTCAAGTGCCTCTGTGCAATGAAGAGTTCCTCCCCTTTCGCTTCTGAGAGGCAGTCTGCTCTGTAGGCCGCCCAGAGTTTATCCATTTTCCCTCATTTTTGAACCTTACTTTTTGTTCTCATAGACTCCCAAATCAAAATACAAACCTTTTTCTTTTTTTTTTAGTAAGTATATATATCCTTGATATATTAAATGTATGTCACATACTGAGATAGAAACTGTCTTCAGAACAAATGTAACCAATTTATACATAATTCTTTTTCTATGTATAAAGAATAACAGCCATACATACTTGTAAAGAGCCTTATCATACTTC